GAACCGCAAACACGCTGAATGCACTGAAAGCGCGTCAATCTCGCTTACGCGTTTTGCCGAAGCCAAAGCTAACAGCAGTGCCGTCTTAAATGACAATATTTTGAAATCAACCTTGTCTAACGGCTCAAATGGGGACATAGAAAGAGCATCAAGCACCAATCCCAAATCCCATGAGGGGGAAAGCGGTTTTGAAACTGGCAAAGCGCGGCGCTCACCCTTCATGAACCTGCATACCAAAGGATGCTGTCCCACGGTTTTGTTATCAAAACCAATATGACAAGCGGATATAGCAGCCAGAAACACTTTTATTGTTGAAAATGCTTTCCCTTGGTCTATCAAATCCTGAAGAAATGATAGAACAACTGCCACTGAACACTGAAAGGGAATCTCATGTTTAGTGGCGCACCAGCGCTCAAACACGCCCCATTTGCATTCATACAGAGACCTAGTCGATGAAGCTCTAGCATTTTGTATGGTTCTAATAACGCCGCCAGATAGACCGGTTGTATTTAAATTGAACCACTCACAGGCCAGGCCCATAGTGCCAGGCGTTCTGGATGAGGATGAAAAATCCAGAAGACCACGGGTCTTCGTACAGCATATGTATGATCTCCGCTAGCCAATATTTCCCTGGCCACCTCGGAGCTATTAATATCAATTTCAGTCCCTCCTCCCTCACTCTATAGAGTGTTGGGGATATTAACGCTATCGGTGGGAACGCGTAAAGGAGAGTGTGAGGCCATTTGTGCGCCAGCGCATCTATCCCCAGAGGCGCGCTCTGATCTTTCAGAGAGAAGAACAGAGGACACTGAGCATTGTCGTGGGACGCGAACAGATCCACTGTCGCTCTGCCATATATGCTCCAAATCTGTTCGACCACTTCCTGGTCCAATTTCCACTCCCCGTAGAGGGGATTGCCCCTGGACAGCAGATCTGCACCCTGGTTCATGACACCCTGTATGTGCGTCGCTCTCAGGGATAAAAGATTGGCATTGCTCCATAAAATCAGTTTGCGTGCTAACGTGTGCAAAGAAAGGGATCTGAGACCTCCCTGTCGGTTTATGTAAGCCACAACTGTAGTGTTGTCCGTTCTCATGAGAACATGATGCCCTTTCAGAAAAGGAAGAAAATGCTTCAGCGTCAGAAAAACGGCTAGCATTTCCAAATAGTTTAACTTATTTCAAAAAGTGAAACTTTCATATATTCTAGATTCATTACATGTAAAGTAAAACATTTCAAAAGTTTTTTTTGTTTTAATTTAGATGATTAGAGGTTATAGCTCATGAAAGTCAAAAATCCAGTATCTCAAAATATTAGAACATTTATATTTGAGTTTCATTAAATGAGCATCCCTACAGTATAATTCCAGGCATCTCTTGTTCTTTGAAACCCCAATAATGGGGAAGACTTGGCAATGGTCCAGAACACAATCATTGACACCCTCCACAGAGAGGGTAAGTCACAGAAGGTCATTACTGAAAGGGGTGGCTGTTCACAGAGAGCTGTATCAAAGCATATTAAATGCAAAGTTGACTGGAAGGAAGAAATTGGGTATAGGAAAAGGTGCACAAGCAACAGGGATGACCACAAGCTTGAGAATACTGTCAAGCAAAGCTGATTCAAACACTTGGGAGAGCTTCACAAGGAGTGGACTGAAGTCAGTGCATCAAGAGTCACCACACTCAGACGTCTTCAGGAAAAGGGCTACCAAGCCACTTCTGAAACAGAAACAACTTACCTGTGCTAAGGAGAAAAAGAACTGGACTGTTGCTCAGTGGTCCAAAGTCCTCTTTTCAGATGAAAGTAAATTTAGCATTTCATTTTTAAATCAAGGTCTGTAGAAAGACTGGAGAGGCACAGAATCCAAGCAGCTTGAAGTCCAATGTGAAGTTTCTGAAGTCAGTGATGATTTGGGGTGCCGTGACGTCTGCTGGTGTTGGTCTATTGTGTTTTATCAAGTCCAAAGTCAATGCAGCTGTCTACCAGGAGATTCTGGAGCACTCTATGCTTCCATCTGCTGACAAGCTTTATGGAGATGCTGATTTCCTTTTCCAGCAGTACTTTAGCACCTGCCCTCAGTGCCAAAACCACTTCCAAGTGGTTTGTTGACCATGATATTACTGATCGCTTCCAGGTCACACCTCAGCAAGACAGAGAGTGAGAGACAGGGAAAAGACATATAGACAAAACCATTAAGAGAACATGACTTATTTTTCAAAAGCAGCTCTGGGATTTAGAATGATAGAAAGAAGGATATAAAAATGAATAGGATGATAGAAAGAAGGATGAAAAGATGGACAGAACGATAGAAAGATGGATAGAAAGAAAGGAGGATAAAATGATAGATAGATCATTGATAGAACAATGAAAAGATAGAAAGATGGATACAAATATAAAACAATATATAGATCGATAGAAGGATAGAGCGATAGATAGAACATTAAACAATGATAAATAAAATGATTGATAGAACGACAGAATGACGGATAGAACGATAGATAAATAGATGGATAGATTCCTTCAGATTCTCAGTCAGTAAGACAGGCATGCATGGATGACAGTCCTTCACAGCCCAGCATGCGAGTGTCCTATTGATGCTACAGTGCATTCTGGGATGGGGAGTGGTGCGCTATTTGGCATGAAAACAAGCAGTCAAAGCCAAAACACAGTGACAACATTCTATTCCTGAGAAACAGTCTGTTCCACACACACACACAAATTCACATGTGCGTCAAGGGCTGATAAACTGTTCACACCACTGAGTGGGTCAATTATTCAAACACAGAGCACAACAATAATGATTAGGGGTGGGAATCAGGGACCTGCTGATGCGGTACATTGATATCTGGGTCACAATACAATAATATTGTGCTTCTTTGTGACAGTTATTCAAAACTGTGATATATACCGCTACCTTGGTGCTTTTCAGAATTATACTCTTAACCTTAGGAGTATGTTGAGTACCTTCAATAGTTCTAATTTTCTTTTTTCAAAATCAAAAAGATTTGAGAATAATACTGTGAGGTTGTAATACTGTTTCATATCTATTTTTATCCTCTCATCATTAGTAATGATGTGCGAATGACCTCATTCCAAAGTCTCTGGTTTGTGGTTGTAATGACTCCATTGCTTCCTTACAGAACATTAAAAAACGTTCAGCATTTACTTCTGACCTTCTGCATCACGCTGCTCTCAGTGTATGACTAAATGGCTGATGTCAACAGGGGCATTTATTTGATTGCGCTGAAGGTGGATGACACCAGCCTGACACTATTACCGCTGAGTGCACGAAAGCATGAGCAAACATTGCCTAAGAAGTAGGTGTCTTCATCTCAGAAGCATGCTTTAGTTCCAGGCAAAGATAAGGGTCTCTCTTTTCCTCAAGGATGACGAAAACTTCCTCTCATTTTTGGGTCAATTCAGCCTTAAGAAAACCCCAACTTTCTTTGATCTTACAGACAGCAGACAACTCACTTCTCCCTCTCTGTCCCTCTCTCTCTAGAGATGCAGGTTTTCTGCAAGTATAAGCTGATTAAGAAAGAAACTTCGAGCCAACAGCAGAAAGATCCTCAGAAGAAGTGAGACGGAAGCAAGAGAAAGAAAGGAAGAAAACCGGGAAGAGAGTCTGAGAGAGCGAGAGAGGAGATTGTTTAATTACCAGATGTGTGATGGTGTGAGATGGCGATTTCTGGCACTCCAGGTGTGAATGTCTAACATGAGATGGTCTTATGTATGGATACAGAGGAAGTGTTGGAAGAACAAAGGAACGGGGGACTGCAAAAATGAGCAGAATCCATCTCAGGTTCTCACAAAGCCTTACCTCCATCTCTAATGAAAACCTTTTCATTCCAGCCAAAAAATGAACACTGTCTCACACAAACACTAACACTTTTTGTAATCTCCATGGTGCTGTATAAATGCTGAGCTGTGGGTACTTGAGAGGACAAGAAAATGACCAGAAAAGGTGGGAGGAGAGCGAGGGAGAGGGGGTTAAAACAGCAGGGGGCAATTATACAGGCTGTTTATGGACGACAAAGAGAGAAAGTGAGAGACTTATTAAATTTAAGGTTCAGAAGCACGGAGGGACGAACAGACCAGCAGATGGGTAGATGTTCAGGTAATTGCGGGATGTCGGGAATATGCTGTAAAAAAACAGTAGAGAGGCAGAAAAGGGAGGTTGCATGTCCGTGTGTGTGTGTCCGTGCATAACACTACACAATACCTCAGTGTGTCACAGAGGGTGGACTGAACGGAATACAATGGCTTTACTGTCAGCAGAACATCATGCATACACACACACACACACACACAGTGAACTACACTAATTTGAATTTCTGTGATAAATTCAGGTTCAGCTGAAATAGCACTGGAAACCTCTTAAGAGACCTTGAAAAAAAAACATTGAGTTAGGGTTGTGAAATATATTGAATAGTCAAAGTGCATTTTCAATGACTTTGCTGGCAATACAAAAATAAGATTAAAATGTGCTTATTTAGCCATTTTGTTTCCTAATCAGAGTTCTATAAATTAAACTGTCCATTTCAGTGAACTCTAATTCAATGATTAGTTTGTCAAAAATGTTCATGAAAGCCTCTGTGTGATGTTTCATTTATTATGTTTTTAAAAACACATGTAAATATTGTTTTTTTACTATTTATGTATTGTTACAGTCTTGCATAAAATTACACACACACACACACACACACCTACCTTTCCAGATGTTTTTCAGAACAACATTAATTATATACTTTATACATTAAATATGTATTATATCTTTCAGAAGAATATTCATTATATATTTTATATGTTAAATATTGTTCAGTACATAAAAACAATATTAATTTTAGCTATATTGCTCACCTTCAGAATGAGTCTATAAATGAATGAATACAAAAATGAAAAAGGAAGGAAAGGTCATCTTTGAGCTGTAAACGGCAAGTCACTGAATAATGCAGACACTCCCGTTCAGGTAGACTCCATTCAGTAAAGACTGTAGGCTGTTATGAGAGAGAAAAACTGAGAAAGATAGAGTGAGATTGGCATGGTAACAGTGTAAAGGCTTTTAAAAGGATGTTCAGATTGCTCACCTTTCCATTCAGAAAAAAAACAAAACATAAAAGCTACTTTCAGAATGAATGATTCAACAGATCTATCCTGTTCACTTCAAGAATTCATTCAATGAGAAAAACACTACACACAGATAAAACTGGCCACTCAAAGAGAGAGACAGAGAAAAAAAAGAGAGAGTTGCTCATTGTTCCATGATATTGGCCTCACTGTGTCAGAGACAAACTGAAGGTGGAGCACATTTTCTGTGAAGGGCCACCAAGAGCCTCTCCTTAAAGAGAGAATATATCCATGACTAATGACAACCTAGAAGAGCACTCAGCCAAAGAATAACAGCATGAATGGAAATTAGTACAGGGTAGTACAACACACACATCTTCTCCAAAAAGGAGGGTACCAGGGAGTGGGTCGCAGTGGGGCCTCACTTTAAAATATGTGCTCTAAACTTTAATGTGTTCCATACCAGCATTAAGAGACTAAATATAGAGCAGAAGGGGGCTATTCTGACTGACCATATGCATGGGACTTTCTCTCTCTCTAACACACACCCATGGTTAATTTAGCCCAGACTGGGCTATTCTTAACAGACCTGCCCTGTACTCAAGTGCACAAAAGGGTATAAGGATATAAAAAAAAGGAGAGAGAAACAAACATAAGAACCTTTGACTCTTGCAGCCTCACCCACAAAGCTCTAGGGATTTTCCATCTGAGAGTCATGAGTGAGATCCTAGTTAGCTTTTCCAAAAAAACTGATCTAACAACTCTGCATTCAAAATTCACACATATGGGAATTTACAGTTTTGATGAGGATTTCTTATCTTATCTAGCAGATTATACTACTATGAGAAGTATTGCTTTATCAGATGACAATACAACAGTACTTAGATATGTACTGTGGTCCTGAATGATTAAACTGTTCATACACCACAGTTTTTACATGGTACTTCAAAAATACCATGGTATTACCATCACAGCAGCAGAGATCTGAAAAAATGGAGAGCGACATAATGAATCTATCTTTTTTGAGCACCAAAAGCCATGGTAATACCATAATATTATTTGTGGTTATAACAAGATGCTATATTAGCGGCAGAAACCAGCATCAACAGGACAGATTCACCAGTAAAACCACAAAAACATGTGATCTGCATGACATGCTTGACTAATGCAGCATGCAAAACGTCAAAGCAGAAAGCATTATAGCATAATAGGCTAATTTTATTAGACTGCTTGCTGTTACTAAGCTGAAGTAAAGCTTACAATTTTCTTTAACCCAACTATTTCAATGATTAATGAAATGAAGGCAGACTCTGTCTAGGAGATGCACATTGTTTAAACACTGCAAAATGGTGAAAACACAAAATTTTCTAATTTGAAATGATATAAAGTCTTGTACCCTGCCATTGGTTTCCGTAGGTCTATAGTTAGCATAGAGAAGAAAAACAGCTGAGTTGGTTATAGGAAAAAAGGGATGTGGGCAAACGAATAAAAATCAGGGCGTATCAATAGGAGTGGATCTGTTTTTACGTGCCTTTGAAAATGCCAGAGAAAGCTTTAAATCACGGCTATATGGGTACAATGCTATACTGTATTCAAACGCGATATGGAAGCGTAATTTATTCAATATGGAAATAAAAGTGTCAATAAGTAACTGACTAATAAATAACTGAACTCAACCTCATAATAAACATTTGTTTGTGTAATAGGTTAAATTGCCGTCACACAACAGCCAACAGCATTTCCCAGTTTTTCAGTCAAGTCGATGTATATGAGCTGCTATGTGGATCTAACGATGTATGAAGTTTTTGATATTCTGTGGTGGTCACATCAGTAATAGAAATTAATCTACCAATAAGCTTAAATATATATATATTTTACATTTTAAAAGCATTTTTACATTTATAAAGCCATTTTTTCTTAAAGTGTGCCTCATCTTTTTGAGTCAAATTATTGCATATAATTTGTCAATTAGAATAATGAGACATTTGGGCTGTTACCAAACAAATGGTATAAATATCAACAAAATTAATCTTTACAATGCAGAGGAAACAAGTTGCATCTGAAGTGACATTTAGATGTCACACTGTTTAATGCAGCTCAGAGGAACATGGGATGCTTTAACCTGCAGTTACAAAAGCATAGATAATGTTTTGATATTGTAAACAAAAAACGTCGAATACTGA